ATACACCACCACCGTGGAGCAAGGAGTTTCAAGCTAATCCGTCTACGGCTCCAACTATCTCGACATATACACCACCACACTGGACCAACGAGATTCAAGCTAATCCGTCTACCGCTCCAACTATCTCAACGTATACACCACCACACTGGACCAACAAGATTCAAGCTAATCCATCTATCGCTCCAACTATCTCGACATATACACCACCACACTGGACCAACGAGATTCAATCTGGTAACTTGGATCATATGGGTAACCATCCTTCGTGGCAGACACTGGCAGTTGATAATCATAATCAATTTGCATCTCAAGGGCATTATCAAAATCTGCACAACTTTCATGATGCGGGTCTCAATCAGCCACCATACTCAGCGCAGCACGTAGGGTCCGATGGTTTGAACCATTATATCCTGCCGGACGTCGCACACGCACAGTACGCTCATCCATACTCATACGAACCAGCTCCAAGTTATCAGGTAGCACGCAAGGATGGCACAGGTAAGCAATAAGACTTGAATCATTATCACTATTTGAGCACTGATCTCAATCTTCTTCAATGTGGGTATCTAGGATATTTTTACCCGCAATCCCAACAATCGCACGATGTACCACACTATGGGCATCACGCTGATTCTGAACAAGTTTTAGATCACAGCAAAGAATGGGAAGATCTTGGCGGTGAAATTGATAAGTATCGTCACCAGGAAGGTTTTAAGGTAGATGATTTGCCTCATATTGATGACATCGTCAACCACAACGGTTTCAAGGTGCCTGCACCTCATGATTTCTATTTCACTTCACCCCATAAACCTGAAGTACCGAATCCCTATGAACATACTGCTACATCTTGGAAGAACCCGAATTTGCCTGAGGAAAGCGAGACTGGGTTCTCTGATATTGACAAGGATCCAAGATTTCACCCTAAGATTAATAATCACCAGCCTATCGGAACCTCTAACGATGGAGATCAAATGACTCGATCATCACGACCTCTCGGTCTGAAATATCCTGAATTTGACTTTTTATCTCCAAACCAATATCATCATGTCTGGCCTACTAATGAAGCACCGATCATCAGTAATATGGAGAAACCAAGGCTTACCTACTCTCAAGTTCTAACAGCATGACTCTTTTCTTGTCTTTCTTTGTTCATATGAATTTAGGGTGTTCAAACCTGTGCAAGAAATGTGCAAGACCGACGTGCAAGATCCGTGCAAGATCCGTGCAAGATTTTTTGCACTAATCTTGCACAGTAATTTTTTTGACAACCCGAGTTATTGTGTTCCAAACCGTGCAAAAACCGTGCGAGACCGACTCTTGCAAGTTTTGTGCAAGATCCGTGCAAGTTCTATTCATATCTTGCACAGAACTTGCACAAAACTTGCATGAATTGATTTTGAGGTTTGAATCTTATGGTCTAGGGTCTACATGGCGCTTAATCATGTGACTGCCGTCTGGGGCGATCCTTGGGGTCCTTCATTTCA